CTCTGTCTATCAGATCTAGTCCCTTAAATCTATTTCTCACTTCCACTGTATAGTCATAAGGGATTTTATTTAGGTCATACCTGAATGATCTATTGATTTTCCTTACTTTCTTCAATAAGTCTGAATTTTGCAATAAGGAGTTCATCATCTGAGCCACAGTCAGCTCCCAATCTTGTTTTTGCTGACTGTATAGAGCTTCTCTTTCTTTGGTTTCAAAGAATAATCAATCAACAATCAATCAAAGATAATCAAATAATCAATCTGATTTCAGTGTTGACTATCTGGTGATGTCCATGTGTAGAGTCTTCTCTTGTGTTGTTGGAAGAGGGTGTTTGCTATGACCAGTGTGTTCTCTTGGCCTTTGCCCTGCTTCATTCCATACTCCAAGGCCAAATTTGCCTGTTACCCCAGGTGTTTCTTGACTTCCTACTTTTGCATTCTAGTCCCCTACAATGAAAAGGATGTCTTTTTTGGGTATTAGTTCTAAAAGGTCTTGTAGGTCTTCATAGAACCATTCAACTTCAGCTTCTTCAGTGTTACTGGTTGGGGCATAGGCTTGGATTACCATGATATTGAATGGTTTGCCTTGGAAACTAACAGAACCATCACTCAGCTTAGAACCATCTTTCAGACTGCTTTATCATCAAGTGTCAAACCAACATTTCCAAAATAAAACACCATATTCCATCACCTTCCTCTAACGGGGCAGAAGTTTTAAAAATAATTATTACATTAAAAAATAATAATAATTACATTTTAAAAACTACTTTTAAGGGACTTCTCTGGTGGTCCAGTGGTTGAGAGACTCTGTGCTTTCAATGGGGTTCAATCCCTGGTCAGAATTGACCAGGGATCATACATGCTGTGTGATGTGGCCAAGGGGGGGAAAAAACAAACAAACAAACTACTTTCAAGACAGTGTTATAGACTAACCTTATCCAGAGCAATGAAGACCCAGAACAGCCGAAAATAAGGTAATTAAATAAAATAAAGAAATTCATATAACAAAAGAGAAAGACTCAAAGAGGGAGAACGAACTTGTGGTTACCAGTAGGGAGAGGGATGGGGGAGGAGGAAGATAGGGAAAGAGTTGATTAAGAGACACAAACTACCAGGTATAAAATAAGCAACAGGGATATAGTGTACAACACAGGGAAATGTAGCCATTATTTTGTAATAATTTCAAATGGAGTATAATCCATAAAAATACTGAATCATTACACTGTATGCTGAAATTAATAGTGTAAATCAACTATACATCAATTTATTAAGAAAATATAGTATGTGGTTCAAATATCAGCTCAGTTCAGAAGCTCAGTTGTGTCTGACTTTGTGACTCCATGAACCGCAGCTCACCAGGCCTCCCTGTCCATCATCAACTCCTGGAGTCTACCCAAACCCTTGTACATTGAGTCAGTGATGCCATCCAACCATCTCATCCTCTGTCATCCCCTTCTCCTCCTGCCCTCAATCTTTCCCAGTATCAGGGTCTTTTAAAGTGAGTCAGCTCTTAACATCAGGTGGCCAAAATATTGGAGTTTCAGCTTCAACATCAGTCCTTCCAATGAACACCCAGGACTGATCTCCTTTATGATGGGCTGGTTGCAGTCCAAGGAACTCTCAAGAGTCTTCTCCAACACCACAGTTCAAAAGCACCAATTCTTCAGTGCTCAGCTTTCTTTACAGTCCAACTCTCACATCCATACATGACTACTGGAAAAACAACAGCCTTGACTAGATGGACCTTTGTTGGCAAAGTAATGTCTCTGCTTTTTAATATGCTGTCTAGGTTGGTCATAACTTTCCTTCCAAGAGTAAGTGTCTTTTAATTTTATAGCTGCAATAACCATCTGCAGTGATTTTGGAGCCCAAAATAATAAAGTCAGGCACTGTTTCCCCATCTATTTGCCATGAAGTGATAGGACTGGATGCCATGATCTTAAGTTTTCTGAATGTTGAGCTTTAAGCCAACTTTTTCACTCTTCTCTTTCACTTTCATCAAGAGGCTCTTTAGTTCTTCTTAACTTTCTGCCATAAAGGTGGTATCATCTGCATATCTGAAGTTATTGATATTTCTCCTGGCAATCCTGATTCCAACTTGTGCTTCCTCCAGTCCAGTGTTTCTCATGATGTACTCTGCATATAAGTTAAATAAGCAGGGTGACAATATACTGCCTTGATGTACTCCTTTTCCTATTTGGAAAATGTCTGTTGGTCCATGTCCAGTTCTAACTGTTGCTTCCTGACCTGCATACAGGTTTCTTAAGAGGCAGGTCAGGTGGTCTGGTATTCCCATCTCCTTCAGAATTTTCCACAGTTTATTGTGATCCACAAAGTCAAAGTCTTTGGCATAGTCAATACAGCAGAAATAGATGTTTTTCTGGAACTCTCTTGCTTTTTTGATGATCCAGCAGATGTTGGCAATTTGACCTCTGGTTCCTCTGCCTTTTCTAAAACCAGCTTGAACATCTGGAAATTCACTGTTCATGTATTGCTGAAGCCTGGCTTGGAGAATTTTGAGGATTACTTTACTAGCATGTGAGATCAATGCAACTGTGTGGTAGTTTGAGCATTCTTTGGCATTGCCTTTCTTTGGGATTACAATGAAAACTGACCTTTTGCCACTGCTGAGTTTTCCAAATTTGCTGACATATTGAGTGCAGCACTTTCACAAGATCATCTTTTAGGCTTTGTAATAGCTCAACTGGAATTCCATTACCCTCACTAGCTTTGTTTGTAGTGATTCTTCCTAAGGCCCACTTGACTTCACATTCCAGGCTATCTGGCTCTAGGTGAGTGTGAGTGATCACACCATCATGATTATCTGTGTCGCTTCAAATAAAATTTCTAACAAAATAATATCTAAATAATTTTGTAACTCATTTAAATAAAAGAATGTCTAGTTAAAGTTAAAAGTTTCTTGAGGACTCTTCTGTCCTCTGACACTATCACTTGAATACCCTAGCTTACAAAGAACTTTTCCGTATATTACGCCAGTCTTTCCCACAGCCACCCAAGATAGGTAAAGTGGAGAAAAGTGGAAGTTGCTCAGTCATGTCTGATTCTTTGCGACCCCAGAGACTATACAATTCCCATTTTTAAAGAAAACTGAAGCTTGGTTCTGAAACCAAGTCCTAAACACTGCCCAAAAAACTGAGAAGAAATAGAATGTGGAGTAAATCCTTAGGAAACAAGTTACGTTTTAAGTGTTACAATTTGTGGATTGTGTTTTAACAGGTTCTCAATAAATTGAAAGGGAAATGTTTTCAATCTATGTGTACTCATTTTGAAGTAATTATAAGTAAAATTTAAAACTATATTCATCTATTTATTCAAGCCTTTATTAAGTACCTACTATATCGACAATCCTGTGCAAAATACTCAAGGAACAGAAAGATGAATTTTTAAGCAGTGAGTGCCAACTCTCAAGGAGAGTTTTCAATCTAATGGTAATGAATTTAACACAAACTGTAGGAAAGGAATTAGGAGTAAGCATTTGCCCTTAATTGAGAAAAGTCACCTCATTTTTGTAGGTTAAGGCATAAACTGCCAGTTGGTAAACAGTCCTATTATACACACCTTTATTAGTTCATCATCTTTAAAGGAGGTAGATCTTTCTCCTCTAAAAACATCTTACCCAATCACATCTTTTTGACTGGTTTGAATTTTTAAAGTAAAAGTTTGCTCAAAGAGCAAAATAAGATTCATAAAATCAAATTGGCATTATGCACAGAAAGATAAGTATCTACAACAGTATGTAAAGGTTCAGTATTAAAGGGTTAAATTTGAATTACTTTGGAGACTTGTCCTGAATAAGTTATTATGTTCAACTTCATCATCTATAAAACAGGGGTGATATTTAATTCTAATTAAGATTATAACTCAGATGCTACAATTATTTCCACCTGTCATAATAAACAAAGTTAAAATCTAGTATAAAAATGTTTCTAATAATTTATGTTTCAAAAATAAACTGGAATGATAGTAGGTAAAAGAAAAAGTGACAATGGTGTGGATAATTTAACAGTAACTCTTAGTGCATAAATGAATGTAAGTGTGCAAGTTATCTATTTTTTCCGATGTCTTATTACTTTTTAAAAAATGGCTCAGATAAGAAACTTAAAATACCTAGTAAAATAACTTTGAGGATTCACTTTGTGAGACGTATTGAAGAGAAAAAGAACGAGCAAATAGTACAATTTAAAAATATTTATTTTTCAATTCATGCTTTCCAGAACACTTTTTCCAAACAAATCACCAAAGGCCAATATGTCTGTCTACTCTCAATGTTAAGCAATTTTTCTACCCAAAATAATGAAGTGATGTATACTTTTATATCTAATCAGTTTGTGACAGCTGTGATTCTCAAACATTTTTAAAAAACAGAAGATCAAAGTTGCAAACAGACCATATATAGTGATTTTAAAAACTGGAGGGCAAAACCTGACTTTAAACAATCAAATGACCCATTAGCTGGATTTGACCTTTTCAGGCCAAATGAGGACTTCGCTCAAGAGTCCTGCACATAACAGATGGGTCCTCATAGATGTCCTTAACACCACAAGCACAGCTTCTGATGCCCAATGCTGCCAACCAACAGCAGGGGCACAGAAAGGTGACCCTGCCAACTGACTCAGTTTTATTCTTCAACACATTTCTCTTCTCCATTCTCTTCATTGACTTCATCTGTTTCCTTGCAAGAATCTTGGCTGTTGGTATCAGTAAGATAATTTTCTTCCCCATTCTCTCTTTCTTCTATTTTTTCTTCTTCATTAAAGCTAGAGGAAGAAATTTATCAATCTTTCAAAGGAAAAATCATTTGGTTTAAAGGTAAACAAACCCTCTGCAATGTATGCCATCCTGCAGCCAGTTTTCCTCAAGTGTACAAGCTCCAATTTATGAAGAAAAGTCTATACAAGTACCAGTTGGGAAAATAAAGATTGACTCTTCAAACTTCATTTGAAAGCATGTTATTGTTTTCATTATCTATGTCAGAAATTTACATTATTTGACTTTAAAAAAATATTTCATCACCATGTAATATTTTGAAGTGTCAAACATGTTAAAATGTCAGTATGTTTTATATAGTTCACATGTGTTCCATTAGATAAAACACCTTTTAAAATCTTATAGAACAGATTTTTATGCTTTCCTGCAAGTAAGAATTTTTTCAAAGGTTAACCATTCAGACATCTTATATATGTTACCTTTCTTTATCTTCTGTGAAATTTTTCATCTCTTGATTGCTGAAGTACTCAAATATTTTTCCACTTTGGCCTTTCTTTGAAACAAACTCATCAGATATTCCTAGTGCTTTTAAAGTGTTAGAATAATGCTTTTCTGCTGCCATTCTTGCATTTTTCTATAGGAAAGACAAACCTTTTTAGAGAAGGACAAAAGACTTCAAGTTTCCATTAAAAATGTTAAAAGCTTCAGTGAAAATTAAATTCAATCATCACAGCTGGTTGAAAAATATGCATACCCTCTGACCAGCAATTCCATTCCTAGGTATGTGCCTAGAGAAACTCCAACCTACGTGCCCACAGAGACACACCAAAATGCTCAGAACAGTACTGTTTGTAACAACCCCAAACTGGAAACAACCTAAATATCTATCAACAGTAGACAGATAAATAAATTCTGGTGAATTCATATAACAGACTAAAATGAAGCAGAAAATGAACTGGAGCTGTATGTTACAACATGGATGGACCTCACAAACACTGAACAAAAGCAGCATACCACAAAAGAGCACACATAGTATAAAAGACCCAAAAACAGGCAAAACTAAGCTATGCTGCTTAGGGATTGGTACATCGGTAGTAAAACCGTAAAGAAAAACAAGGAAATGCTTATCTCAAAAGTTAAAATGGTGGTTACCTCTAGGTGAGAGAGTTTTGATCTGGGCAGGGCACAGTGTTTCTGGGGTACTGGCAAAGCTCTAATGCTATATTTGTTAACATGGGTAATGGCCACAGGAGTTTTGAACTAAAAATTATTCTTTACACTGTGCTGTTTCATGACTGTTCAAGGATAACTGAAAAAAAATCAGTAAGAAAATAAGATCATGTGATAGTTGTCAGAGGGTTCTTTATGTGCCTACTATAAATTTTGCTCTTTACAAGCCATGTCTCTAATCCACTGAAGAGTACAAAATCATCAGTGTTGTTATCTTTACTCTGTGGGGGAAGCAATGCATACAGCAGGAAAAACATGAATTTAGAACTGGGTTCAAATCTCCAGAATGTTACTTCCTGGCTTTGGGGCCTGTGGAAGTCGTGATGACCCTCTCATACCTAAAGCAAATCAATTATCACAGTTCCTGAGATCACAGGCTTTACAGAGACAAAAGATAACTGAGGTTCACATGAGTGCCTTGGCTCCTGATACCACAGGCTTTACAGATTCACAAGATGACTGAGGTTCACACGAGTGCCTTGACTTTAGTCCACTTTTACCTCCTATGAGTGGGTGTGAACTAGCACAGGGCCAAAAATCACTATCTGAACCTGGAACTAAAGGAAAGAGATGAGGAATGGCCCAGTCCCAATGCACCAATGGCATCCCATCCTGAAAAGAGTGTGGAAGAGCACTCGGTCTCACCCCAAAATTTAACACAGAAGAGGAAACCAAGATACTTGGTCCACCCTTCCTGAGGTTAAGTGGTTTGCTTAAAGTCACAGAATATACTGAGAGGGAAAAGCTAGTCTCCTAATCCTTTCCTGCATCTTCTTCACTGCTTCCTCTAAGTGGTAGTGGTCATTCAAGGTGGCCTGAAGCCTGACTTCAGTGAAGCAGTGTCAGATATTTTCCTAACCCAGGGATTCCAGGATAAGGAAGGACCCTGGAGTCTAGTGTTCCATTGGAGAAACCAAAATGGCAAAGGCTGATTACGATGGATAAAACTATCACTAGGGCATTTTCTGACACTCTAGAAAACTCAAAAAGAAGCACTAAAACTGCTACCAAAATGCACCCACTGTGAATGATGATTTTTAGACAAGTAAGTAAAAATGCAACCAGAGGCTATGAATACCAATAGACAAGCCTTGGGCAACTGAAAGGCATAGGAAAGTGACCTGAAAAGAATGCCCCCAAAGACTGTAAAGCAGGATAAAGAAACCCCAGGCCTAACTCAATGTGCTAAAAAGAATATATTCTGATTTAAGCAAACGAGGTATAAAAGATTTAAATGATACTAGTCAATGTTACTGCTCTTAAGCCTTCACCTGAATTTGATCTAACGCTTTAATGTTTGGTTTGAAAGTGAAAGTCGCTCAGTCATGTCCGACTCTTTGCGACCCCATGGACTATATAGCCCATGGAATTCTCCAGGCCAGAATACTGGAGTGGGTAGCCGTTCCCTTCTCCAGGGGATCTTCGCAACCCAGGGATCAAACCCAAGTCTCTCGCAGTGCAGGCAGATTTTTTACCAGCTGAGCCACCAGGGAAGCCCCAATATTTGGTTTAAAATCTGATTTAACATAGTCAGTTAATAAATCCTGTGATTTTTAAGAAATAGGAAAACATGGTTTGTTCTGCCCTGGATCACAGGCCAACTCTGCTAGGGGGATAACTCAACAGCAGCATGACCATAATTAACACTTATAAATGGGAAATTACATACCATTGTAAGTGAATTTATTAATTAACAGCTAGCTGTTAATTAGCAGTAATAGTAACTGCAAGAAAAAAGTACCAATTTATGTTAACAAAACCAAAACAATGGTGAGTCACTGCAGTCACTCTGCATATAGAACTTATTATCTTTTAATATTTCATATCAAGGTGAATAGTGTGTAACTGTTCTTTTTTAAAACAAGCATGTCCCCCTCAAATTTCACCATGCAAAAGAACTGTAAAGACTATGAAATAAAAGTGGTTAAAATAACTGAATGATTATTTTGTTTTTATATCTAAGATATTGCAAAAAAACAAATTATCTTTGTTTCTTCAGGCAATTTGTCTACAATCACTACTCTAGTTTGAAGAGGAAAAAAATACTTAGCTTTATAAGCCTAAGTTTACTTTATAGCAATTCTTTCCTTTATATAATAATTACTGACTACTTATTTTGTGACAAGCCCTCATGGGAGGTAGAGGTATATGGGGAGAGGACAGCATATGTGTTGGCTGAAGTTGGTTGAAGAAAATATCAGCTATGAAACTAACCTATGCTTTCAATATTTAACACTTCTTTACGGGTTTAATTTCACACACACCACTATTTTGCCACATTTTCTCTGGTGATTAGAAAGACTGGGAATTCACAGCATTGCAGAACTGCTTCTTACTGCTGAGACTCATCACTACTATGTCAGGGTAGTGCTCTAGGCCTGGTATAATCCCTGGGAGAAATAGTCCAGTTCAGGTTCAACAACTGTTTATGAACATGTCCTCTGTGCCGTATGCTGTCTTAGGAGCTAGCAACACAAAGATTTGAACAACACCTTTAAAAGTAACTAGCTGAAAGAGAAGGGAGAGCATTAAACAGATAATTTGCACACAATACATAGGAAAAAACACAGAAATGCACAAAGGGTAATAAAAGAACACAGAATAAATAGCATGCAACTCAACCTGGGGACACAGTGCAAGAAGTGATTTTACACTAAGCCTTGAAAGAGTCAGAGGAAAGATACGAAGAAGTTATATGGGTGTTGAGAAACAGCCTGAATAAAGATTTCAAGTTTGAGGGACTTCCCTGGTGGGTCCAGTGGCTAAGACTCTGCACTCCCAATGCGGGGGGCCCGGGCTCAAATCCTGGTCAGGGAACTAGATCCCACATGCTGCAACTTAAGAGTTTACATGCTGTAACTAAAGGGTTCGCACACCACAGCTAAAAAGATCCCACACACCACAACAAAGATCAAAGAGCCTGAGTGCTGCAACTAAGACCTGGCACAGCCAAATATATAAATAAATATTTAAAAAAGATTTCCAGTTTGAAACTAGTGGTGTGGTACAGTCTGCAAGTAAAGGGTGTACACAGAAGGGAGTGGAGGCATGCAGTGGTCAATGAACTAAAGAGGTCAACAGGAATCAGGTAAGAGAGGATTCGGTACACCATGTTAAGACTTGTGGACTTATCTTCTGGGGGGAAGCAGGACAGCTTAGTGCTAAGCACTTGGAAGCAGGCTGACTTGGGTTCCTAGTTCTATTATTTACTAACTATAGACCTTAAAAGTTATTTACTTTCTTTCAACTTCAGTTTCTTCCTCTGCAATCCAAGAACACCCATCTTGCAGCACTGTTTGGAGAAGCCAATGTCAAGCTCCCTTGATACCATTTACTGAAAATGAGAACAAATGGCATCAGCGAAATGGATGATTGCCACTGTTACTGGGGTGAACACTGTGGCAAGGGAATGGGAATGGCAAAGAGAAGACAGAGCGAGTGGCTTTGCAAAGAACAAGGCAAGAAAACCAGTCAAACCATAATAACAACTCAGACGGAAAATAACAGTAGCTTCACCTAGCATTTCGCCATCAGGAATGGAGAAAGGCAGATCCAAAAGCTGTTTAGAAAGGAACTGCTCAGGTCTCAGGGACAGCTGAGAAAAAGTGGGGGGAAGAGTGGTTTCCAGCCATCTAAATTTCAGCCCAACAAAAACACGAACCCAGAGAGGCAGGTCTACTTTGTGTCAAGATGAATATAAGATGCCTGTGAGAAATCTGGGTAGGTACATCCAGATGAGTGGACATAAAACCTGCAGTAGAGAGCCGGAGAAAACCATGTGAGGCAAAAATCAATCACTTTATGCTGAGTAACGTAGAACAGCTTATGATCATTTTTCTCCCCTAAAGTTGAAACTGGGATGTGAGAAAAAAAATCCCTTAAAGTGAAAAGTGTTACACAAAATTATATCCAAATCAATAAGCAGAGGGTTCCCATAACTTTGAGAGACTGTAATATGCCACAACGAATGTCCCTTGTCCTCAGTGAGACTCTGACGAGGACAGTCCTATAGGACACTCATCTGTCCCAGACACTTGCTGGCAGCAAGCTCCAAATGGAACAGCTTGAAATTCACAACACAGCACCTGTAATCTCTAGGGATTTTGTCTATTTTTAAATTACGTAGCCCATAGGAGCTTTCCCCTTATGGATACAAAAAAGATCACCTGAAATTGGCAAATTACTCTTAAGGGAAAGACTGTAAAACTGAGTATAAATCTAGTAAAATCATGATTCATTGTTCGTAGCACCAAGCTTTTTTTTCCCCGATAAAAAGGGAGTCCTTCTCACAGACACAGAAAACAAATTTATGGTTACCAAAGGGGAAAGGGAAGGGGGATAAATTAGGAGGTGGGATTAACAGATATACACTACTTTACATAAAACAGACAAATAACAAGGTCCTACTGTAAAGCACAGGGAACTATTTTAATGTCTTGTAATAAACTATAATGGAAAAGAATCTGAAAAAGAATATATATATGTGTGTACGTATACATATATGCAAAACAACTGAATCATTTTGCTGTACACCAGAAACTAATACAACATGGTAAATCAACTATACTTCAATTTTTAGAAAAAGGAAGTAATTTCACTAATTATAGCTAAAACTAAAAATTATAGACTCACTTAAAAAAAAACTGATCAACAAAACAAAAAGGCAACCTACTGAATTGGAGAAAATATTTGCAAATAATCTATTTGATAAGAGGTTAATATCCAAAATATATAAAAAACTCATGAAAGTCATTAGCAAAAAATAAAATTTAAAAATGGGCTAAAGATATGAAAAGACATTTTTCAAAGAGGATATTCAAATGGCTACAGGCATACGAAAAGGTGCTCACCATCACCATCATTAGGGAAATACAAATCAAAATCACAATGAGATACCACCTCACACGTTACAATGGCTGGTCTCAAAAAAACAAAACATAACAAATGCTGGTGAGGATGTAGAGAAAAAGGGAACCCTTGTGCACTGTTCATGGGAAAGTAAACTGGCACAGCCATTATGGAAAACAGTATGGAGTTTCCTCAAAAAATTAAAAATAGAACCACTACACAATCCAGCAATTCCACTCCTGGGTATTTATTAAAAGGAAATGAAATCATTATGTCAATTCACTGCAGCATTATTTACAATAGTCAAGACATGGAAAAAATCCAAATGACCATCAAAAGATGAATGGATAAAGAAAATGTGGTAGATATGGTATACTATTTGGCCACAAAAAAAGAAATCCTGCCATTTGTAACAATACAGATGGACCTTGAGGGCATAGAGCTAAGAGAAGTTAGTCACACAGAGAAGGACAAATACTATATGATCTCATTTATGTGTGGAATCCAAACACACACACAGAAACAAATTCATAGAAAAAGAGATCATATTTGTGATTATTGGAGGAATTGTACGCAGGTGTCAAAAGGTACAAACTTCCACTTATAAGATATGAAAGTACTGAAAGTATAATGTACAACATGATGATGACAGGTAACACTGCAGTGTGGAATATATGGAAGTTACTAAGTGAGTAAATCCTAAAACTTCTCATCACAAGGAAAACAATTAACAATGAGGTTGATAGGTGTTAACTAACTGTAATAATCATTTCCTAATATGTGAATGTCAAGTCATTATACTGTACATCTTAAACTTATACCTGCCAAATGTCAATTTTATCCAATAAAACCGGGAAAAAAACCGGCAGAAATAAATGATTCAGTTAGCCATTTTGTTTCATTTTTTAATTCTTCAAAGACTTCCAATTCAACCTCAATATTTGGCCAAGTTGGTACTAAAAAAAGACTAGCCATTAAAAACAGGTTATGAAACTATTATTTTGAAAATGAATGGATTAGTAGCATGTTCTTTATCAAGCTTACGAACCTCATCAAGATTCAGTGCTCAGATTTAAGCAAATTACTTACTGGACTGATGTGGTGAAGCTGTCACAGAAATAATGTCTCAGTAAATTACATAACACATAAAAAAATGGATTATGAAAATTAGGAACTAGAGATGTTAAAAAAAAAAAAGGCTGACAATAGCTCTCAAATTCCAACAAACACAACCTGAGCAACTCTTTCAAATAGCAGCGGCCTGTTTTTTAATTTTTCTTCTCTTTCTTCTAGTTCTCGTCGGTATTCTCTCATCCTTTCCTTTTCACTCTTTCTAAAATCAAATAAAAGGAATGGAATTTTTAAAAGAAACAAGAACTTGCACATACAACATTTAGCTTAGATGACAAATCAGAAATTAAATCATGAGCACAGTTTATCACAATTTCTTTTCTAGACTGGTAAATTTTTAAGGGATGCAGAATACAAATTCTAGGTTTTGAGAGCACACATTTTACATTTCGGGGACAGTCTGGGTATGCTGAGATTCCTGAAATCTTCAAGACAAGAATAGATTAAGGGGTTTCAAACTGGCCTCGGGAGATTAATCGATGCCCTCTCATCTCATTTATAAACCAAAAAAGTTTGGTCCAAATTATGTATCTTCTCTTTGAGGAATTTCTTCTGAAAATTAGATGGTGCTCTTCTTTTTTCCCTAGATGAGATCTCCTATAGGCTGGTGGCAGAGTTAATTAAATGGGAGTAGGGTAAGGGAGAAACAAGGAGTATGGAAATAACACATATAGAGAAAACCAAACAGGAACCAAAACACAAAAACTCACAGTAAGTATACTCACTGTTTGAACCAGATCCTATAATGAATTAAACTATGCTATTTTCTCTATGTAAAATACACTCATTCTACCAAGATCATGACTTCCTGGATTAGACAAAATAATTATACCACAAAATAATAATTATGCTTAAATATACACAATTTAGCATTATGGAAAATCCAGTTTACTTTCTAAAGATGAACAGTATATTTCTAGAGAATATTTTGCTCAAGTTCATCAAATCAAGCTCCTTCTATCAACAAGTTACACTGATACACATTATAAGGTATATACACATAATATACATTATAAAGGAATACAATACTTATTATATATAATAAACATATTTAAAGGAATAATCACAAAAGCAAATATAGATTTGGGGGTACTTATAAATCAGATTAACAGTTAATAAATCATATTACTTACCCAGCTTTGAGGGAGATAATTTACTACTTAAACATGAACATTTTTATGTTGCAACATAAAAATATTCCTCTGAAACACTGATTTTCAAACTTCATGCTGTAGAATTCCAGTGTCACATACCATTAACCTCTAACACACATGTTAACTGACACATCACATAACTGATGCTAACATCAATGTGCTAATCTGTGCTATCAGATTTTGTGTAGACCTTAGAACAAAGGTCTTGGACATATTTCTTTGCTGAAGAACATTTTGAGATTACACAGCAAGCTGTTAAAAAAGAGCTTTGTGTGAATCAAGATTTTTCTCAATATCACACTGTACAAAAAAAAATAATATAAATAAAAAGTTTAGGTGCTGACACAGGATCACAGCTGTGAACCATGGCCACAGTATAAAATGCTTCTGTCCATCAATACGGCATCATGGTCTTCACTGTGGGGTGAGTATGCATGTTGGTTCTTACCATGAAGTGAGTGAGTGTTAGTGTATGCGTAAGTTAATTGTAAGTAATTGATAGTAACTTGAATCCACAAACTGAAATACTAACACTATTCTTCATTCATTCACATATTTGGGGGGGGGGTCCACTGATGAAAAAAAAAAAGTTTGAAAACCAGTGATCTGGAGGGTCAGGGTTCTCTCGTGATACCTGAGAGCTTTTATTCTGGATTTAGACATCTGAGCTAAACTCTCGTGTGAGTCATAAGCCTTAGCCCGGATTGTCAGGAGTTTCTGCAATTCTTTCATTCTTTGCTTCTGCTTAGTTAAGATCCGATGTCTCTCTTCTTCCAACATTTTCTTTTCCTCAAGTGATCTCCTGAGGGCAACAAACTAAGGCTTAATTCACTTTAAGCCAGTGAGAATGTTGTTTAGTAAAGATTTAGCACAGGGTAATTCAATGGTTGAAAAAAAAAGGGCAACCTTTTGAGAAGGATCTGAGTTGTAACTAGAAATCGGTAGGCTGACTGTAACCTTTTCTAGCCCCAAAGATTCATAAAATGGAAAATATATTTAGTTCTTGGATCTTCCTGACCCAGGGATGGAACCCCAGTCTCCTGCATTGCAGGCAGATTCTTTACCATCGGAGCTACCATAGCACACCTTCTGGCAAAACATTCTATATTTTATAGTAAAATATGTTACCGGGTAACTTAGCATCGTATTCTCAAATCCCCCAACACAGAAGCACTAGAGCGACCGTGAGTCGGTCATCATTGTGCTGGTTATTTACCTTGTGGCTTGCTCTCTTCCTCGGGAGGACGCCGTGGGCGTTGGAGGGTTGCAGCTACAAGGTGCAGGCTTTGTGTCTGCATCCCTTACTGCTGACTTGCGCCTTGGAGACAGATAAGGCCAACGTGTCTCTTTTAAATTCTCTTCATCTGCTTCGATGTCTGCCAAAATTTTCTCTCTTTTGGTGGGTGAATGTGAGGCTGCCTGAAGGTCAGATGGTTCACAGACTGTCCGGAATTTGGGACACTTCTGTTCTGAGTGGTGTTTCTGACACCTCTCAGGTGGGCCTTCAGAACCAGCAGGCTGGCGCCTAACCCTGTGTTCATACTTGGAATTCTCAGCCTGTTCAGGACCCCTGGACTTCCTTGTAGCAAAACTCCTGCGAGGTGGACTGTAAGGCAGAGGGGATGGATTCTGTAAAAAGTCTTGAGTTCTCTGCTGCGCCCTAATGTTTTTATAGAGTGCTTGTTCTGTTAACTTGTCATTGAGTATTGAACCATAAGTAGAGCGAGGTATAGGTCTGGCTTTAAAACGATTTATTTTCTTTTTAGACTTAAAAAAGTCTTTCAGCTGCTTTTCCCGAACTGCTTGCTTCTGTTCCTCCCTTGCAATAAACTTAAAGGGCCTTTGAGAGGCCAAAAGAGCTTCTTTGTTTCTCTCCTTCATAGCCTTCCTCCGTACTTCATTTTGCTTGACCATATCATGATAAAGGGGGAGAAAGACGAACGCAGGAACTGGGTTGGCTCGGAATTTTTTCTTACACTCTGACTCTTCTTCTTGCTTCTTGAGAAGTTTGTGTGCCATTTCAATATCTGATTTCGATTTCATGTTCTCTTCTTTTTTCTTCTGCTCTCTAACTGTCATTTGAAAAGGCTCGGGTACTGTAATCCTTGGCACCCATTCTTTAGGTTTCTTTCTTTGTTTTTCAAGTGCTGGCAGGTTGACATCTTCAAACTGGATATAATCTTCTACGCTGAAGTTTGTCCACATGTTGTTGATGAGCTCCTTAGCATAGGTCATCATACTGCTTTTCTCAGGATACTTTTTTTCTAAGCTGGGCAACTCTTCTTCAGAGGAAGACACGATCAAGGAGGAAGACTGACTTAAATCAGGTTCTGAAATTGATGTCATTAACGAGACAGGGTGATAGGAGTTCTCTGATACAGACCTAAGCAAATGAGGAGAATAATCAGGTTACCTTTTCAGTTGTATGTGACCAAATAGAAAAATTAAAAGCTACATAATTTCTAAGATCAAGGTAAAATCAGTTAAAAAATAGGAACTGGACAGGGCTGATGAAAACTATCAAATTCTTTAATTACAGAGCCTGGGAGATGCCTGAAATTGATCTAAGTTGACTCCCTCATTTTACAGGGGAGGAACCTGAGACAGCAGAGTCTCCTTATATCTAACCACTATTGAATTCTCCACATGTTTTCCAGAGTCACCATCCTAAAATATACATCTGATCACATCACTTTCTTTCCTGAAACTTTCCCATGACTTGCCATTGTTACCAAGCTTAGATTATAAAGCCCCTCAAGACTAGCTCCTGCCTACCTCTCCAGTTTCACCTCTTGCCTCTCCCTACCCAGGTCACCCTTCTTAAGTCAGATCCAATCATAGGAAGTTTCTCCCACACTGTGGTGATTTCTCAAAGCACCAGGCCTTTGCACACATGGTTCCTGGTGCCTAGAAGGCCACTCCTTGCTTCCTACATCTGCTTCAGCTATTTCTCCTTTAAGACTGAACTCCAATATACTTCACTTGCCTGTATCCCTTCACTGACACCCTGACATGTTCAACTGCTCTTCCTCCCTCTCCATGATACTCTGTTACACCAAGTTGTATTTTTGGACCTCAGATTGTCTTTGATCTCCTTGAGGGCATCTTGATCTTGAGTCCTCAGTGCCTAGGCAACATCTGGCACACAGGAGATGCACCATCAGTGCTGAATAACTGGATGAGTGGCCTCAAGTTTCAAAAGAAGCAGGTTTATGGCAAAAATGACTATTTTGAAAACAAATCAGATTTATGTCTTAGTTCTGAACAATCTGTGTTATATCTGCAATGAGCTCATGTTAATCCACATATTACAAAAAAAGACATTTAAAACTGAATTTTAATATTCAACATTTGAAAATGGACCACACTAAATATTTTGATACATGTCTAAGAGAGGTGCATCAGAGAGAAAAGACTAAAGTGACCACCAAATAACCCTCAAAGCAAGAAGCTACCTAGTAGGTTGATAAGCCATCAAACAATCTGAATAAAAACCCACCTCTGTATATCATTAAAAGCACAAAAGGGTATTTGAGAGAAAGTATTTTGAAATAATTTCTTTTGCACTTTTAAGTATACATTTTATCTTACAGTTCACAAATAACAATATGGACAAACTTACCTGGAAGAGACACTAGCAGTTTCTTCCCTGGTGACTGCTGGCTGAATTTCCTTTAAATTTAATTTATTCTGGTACAATTTCTCTAACTTTGCCATAGTTTCTATGTGGGCTGCCTTCAGCTCTTCTAGTTTCCTGAAATACTCTTCATTAGAGTGGTAAATATCAGAAAAGTCCACAGAATCCTCATGGCTTATATGTTTTTGTTCATTCACCCTAGACATGCTGGTGTTAAAATCAGCCTGGTAGGATGAAAAACACCTGTTATATGATGTCTGGAGTTGAAAGACAAATTAAGTTGACACTTATTCCCAATGCTACTTTTTTAAAAGTCCACTTAACGAGGTTATATGTTTACTTGTGGACTATGTACATATAACATATTATAAGTTACTTGTGGGCTATATACATTTTCTCCTAATAAATATTTTATTAAGAATAAGAGAGAGAGAAGGGGAGATAGAGAGACCAAGTTGCCAGAAAATAAATACTATTTAATCCATCTTTTAAAGGGTGGTTAGACACATATATATGGAATTTAGAAAGATGGTAACGATAACCCTATATGCAAAACAGAAAAAGAGACTCAGATGTATAGAACAGACTTGTGGACTCTGGGAGAAGGCGAGGGTGGGATGTTTCAAGAGAACAGCATCGAAACATGTATATTATCTAGGGTGAAACAGATCACCAGCCCAGGTTGGGTGCATGAGACAAGTGCTCGGGCCTGGTGCACTGGGAAGACCCAGAGGGATGGGGTGGAGAGGGAGGTGGGAGAGGGGACCGGGATGGGGAATACATGTAAATCCATGGCTAATTCATTTCAATGTATGACAAAAACTACTGCAATGATGTAAAGTAATTAGCCTCCAACTAATAAAAATAAATGGAAAAAAAAATAAAGGGTGGTTAGATTCTCAAATTATGTACTAAGAAACACTACGGCAGGATCAAACCAAAGCACCCTTTATAAAGAGCCTCCTTCTCAGCACAGGTTTATCTGAGATGAAGAACACAGTTTCTCCTGCTGCAGACCAAGCAACCACAGCCCAGTGCCCTCTCTAAGCTGGGCTTTGCAGTGAGGGCCCCAAGGGTGTTTCAGAAGAGAGGAAAACTGAATGAGAATTCCGGGGAATGTGGGATTGGAGGGGACAAATTTCTCGGGGGCTCATCAAGAAGCCAGAGAGAAACTTTCCTCCATGTGCATGGGGTGGGGGTTGGGAGGAACCTCAGGAACAGTAGGAGGTGAAGGTAGGAGGGACTTCCAGAATAGCCACTCCTGTGGGCAATAAGAACAGTAGCTCCCATGGTGACAAGGACTGTGGGGGTGACAAGAGAACAAGAACACATAGGGTGGTTATTCTATATACATGTCTACAAGGGTATGACTGATCCCTTCCCCCTCACTCCCTCCAAATACCTTTCAATTTCTTTTAACTGAAGGAACTTTAAAGAGGTAAAACCCCATATCCTTCACAAGTATATAAAAATTTCTTATTCTCTCAGGTGAGAAACAACTGAAATTGTTTATGATACTATGCATAAAAGGTTACTATGGTTTTAAATTTAGCTTACTGCCTGAAATAGACTCAAAATGAAAAAAGTATATTTGCCAAAGAAAATTAGAGATCCAACCTGATAAGACTCTAGAAAATAAACCTGAGTAGTGCCTCCCAACAGAAAATTCAGAAGATTCAGTTGTCCATAATACTTATAGATGTAACACTTTAATGGGCTCAGAAACAGTGTAGATGAGGCCAGTGTTGTACCACTTGGGACAACTTAAGAGAAAGCAAATGAAAGAAAACAAGTTTCCTTCAGTAGAACATGTGTGCAGAAATTTATTACCAAATAAATTGGAGAATTGCTTTATGAGTCATGTTGCTGCTGTTGTTCAGTCGCCCAGTCGTGTCTCTTTGTGACCCCATGGACTGCAGCACGCCAGGCTCCCTGCCCCTCACCATCTCCTGGAGTTTGCCCAAGTTCATGTTCATTGCTTCAGTGATGCCATCCAGCCATCTCATCCTCTGATGCCCTCTTCTCCTTCTGCCCTCAATCTTTCCCAGCATCAGGGATTTTAAGATGAGTTGTCTGTTCGAATCAGATGACCAAAATACTGGAGCTTCAGCTTCAGCATCAGCCCTTCCAGTGAATATTCAGGGTTGATCTCGCTTAAGATTGACTGGTTTGATCTCCTTGCTGTCCAAAGGACTTTCAGGAGTCTTCTCTAGCACCACAGTTTGAAGGTATCAATTCTTTGGCATTCTGCCTTCTTTACAGTCCAGCTCTCACAACTGTATGAGACAACTGGAAAGATCACAGCCTGACAATATGGATCTTTGTCAGCAAAGTAATGTCTCTGCTTTTCAACATACTGTTTAGGTTTGTTTCCTGCCGAGAAGTAACTGTCTTCTGATTTCATGGCTACAGTCACTGACCACAGCGACTTTGGAGCCTAAGAAGAGGAAATCTGTCACTACTTCCACTTTTTTCCCTTCTATTTGCCATGCAGTAGTGGGGCTGGGTGCCATAATCTTAGTTTTTGTAATATTTAGTCTTAAGCTGGCTCTTTTACTCGCCTTCTCATACTCATCAAGAGGTTCTTTAGTTCCTCCTTGCTTTCTGCCATTAGAGTAGTTATCATCCACATATCTGAGGTTGTTGATGTTTCTCCCACCTATTTAGATTTCAGCTTGTAACTCATTCAGACTGGAATTTCTCAAGATGTGCTCAGCGTGTAGGTTAAACAAACAGGGTGACAGCAGACAGCCCTGTCATACTCCTTTCTCCATCTTGAACCAATCAGCTGTTCCATATAGGGCTCTAACTGTTGCTTCTTGACCCACATACAGGATTCTCAGGAGACAGGTAAAATGGTCTGGTATTCTCATCTCTCTAAGAGCTTTCCACAGTTCGTCATGAGCCACACAATCAAAGGCTTTAGCACAGTTGATAAAACAGAGGTTTTTCTGAAATTCCCTTGCTTTCTCTATAATCCAGTGAATGTTGGCAATTTGATCTCTAGTTCCTCTTCCTTTTCTAAATCCAGCTTGGACAGCCTCAAGTTCTTGGTTCACATGTGCTGAAGCCTAGCATGCAAGATTTTAAGCATGACCTTACAAGCATAAGAAATGAGTGCAACTGTCCGATGGTTAGCACATTCTTTGGTGCTAGCCTTCTTGGGAACTGGGATGAGGATTGACTTTTTCCAGTCCTGTGGCCACTGCTCGGTCTTTCAGATTTGCTGACATAATGAATGCAAAACCTTGATGGCAACATCCTTCAGGGTTTGAATAGTTCTGCTGGAATTCCATCACATCCACTAGCTTTATTAACAGCAGTGCTTCTTAAGGCCCACTTGAGTCATACAACTCAATTAAGAGAATTTTCTGATATCCTCTGCTGTTTTTTGTATGTGCTCCTCACCATTACCTGCTTAGCTGTGGGAACGAGTACTATGTTAATTTCCTCTCTCATTCAATATTTAGAGACATTCAGTATGTAGCTAGCTGCTAAAAGATACGAATCAGGTAAAAACTCTACCTTCCAGAAATGGCAACCCATTTTAGTATTCTTGCCTGGAAAATTCAATGGACAGAGGAGCCTGGTGGGCTATAGTCCATGGGGTCGCAAAGAGCTGGACACGACTGAGTGACTGAGCACATCAGCACATACTGTGAACTAAAATGGTTGTTTCCTTTTGCATTCCTACCAGAAGAGTTTGAGACTTCTGGTTCTTCCATTCTCTTGCCAATACGTTTAGTCTTTTTAAACTTCTGACCTTTTGAATAAATGTGTAGCTTTAAAAAAAAAAGAAAAAAGACAACTCCACCTTCCAGAAGCTTCCAGCTAGTTTAGAAGAGGACATGCAGATAAATAATCAATAGCAGACTCTGAATGAGACAGAACTCCTGATTCCTGTCCACAATTTGCTCCGAGCTGAGCAGGGAGACAGAGAAGTGACCGTGTATGTCACGATATTAGGGACCTTTGAGAGCTCACAGAAAGAGCGTCTAATTCTGACAGGGGGAAAGAAGAGGCAAAATTTGCAGATATCAGAAAGACTGGATACACAAGCCTGGATAAGGACAAGGTTTGTGAAAAACAAAGAAACTGAGGCCGAGGGCTCAAACATTCCCCATGTTACTTCATGATGATGCAACTGGCAGGTACTCTGTCCTTGGTGAGGAAACTGAGGCTCAGAGGAGTCAGGTGACCTGTCTACGGTCACACAGCTAGTAAGCAGCAGAGCTGGGCTCCAATACCATACCTGTTAGACTCCAAAGACACACCACACTCCTCCCAAATGCAGGAGGGTTTTTTAGCTGCAAGTGGAAGTAACAAGCATGCTGTGCTCAGAGGAAGGTACACAGTCTGAGAGGGAGTGGGGAAGAGCATATACGGAGCACAGCGGAGGAGGGAAAACAAGGTGAAAAAGGCAAGTGAAGAGCCCCAACCGAAAGCCCAGCGGGCCAAGCACAGGCACCAGGAGCCCGGAAGGACGTGGAATGTGAGAGTCACACTCAGAAGGACTCTCTGGTAGCAAGCGAAGTGGAGGGAAGGAAAGCAAGGCTGGTGGCGGTTAACGGGCTATTGGGAGATTTAAGAGGCTGAGTCATCAACCTGACAAAGGTCTGGACTGTGGGCAAGAAACTGAAAAAGTTTTCTGTTTGGAGTGCTGCATGTCTAGGTAAATGACGATCTGCCATTTATCAGTAGAGGGGCTACAGGGAAGAGGAGTATTTTTAGGGACAGGATATTAATCTCTGTCTTAGACACACTAAGTGTGAGGGGATAGTAGGGCAGCCCAATGTCCAGGAAACAAAGGGGTAAATGTATCTGGAGACTCAGTAAGAAGGCTGGGCTGGAGATGGAAATAAGGAGCCAGCAATGCATACAGAAATGCAGGTGAAGCCCTGGGTGTAGATAAGGCTTCCTGTGGGCAGTGAGAGGCAAGAACTTGAGGATGGAAATGTTGGCAAACACCAGCATCCAAATAAGCAGTGATAGGACTTCCCTGGTGGTACACTGGTTGAGAATCCAGCTGTCAATGCAGGGGACATGGGTTCAATCCCTCGTCTGGAATGATTCCACGCGGCACAGAGCAACTCAGCCCGTGCACCACAACTACTGAACCCGCACTTCAGAGCCCACGAGCTGCAACTACTGAGACCCATGAGCCTAGAACCTGTTCTCCACAGCAGGAGAAGCCCCCGCAATGAGAAGCCCATGCACTGCAATG